AAAAAATAAGAGACAATGTGGTTGCTGGCAATATACAACGAAAAGAATGCACATTATTTAGATGTTCATTCACTGAAGTGCTAACATCTAACTGGAGATCACTCAATATTTATCGCCAGGACCGACCAAGAAGAAAGAAACGAAAACTTGTTGAAATACTTTACGCTGAGAATTCTATATTGTACCAAAAATATAATATTGAATAAAGCAGATAATAATAATAATAATAATAATAATAATAATAATAATACATATCGGTCATTGAGTTAGATTAATGGTTTCTGTAATCTGACAGTCATTAATTGAGTCATGGAGAGGCAATAGCAACCCTAAATGTCAATAACTATTAGTCGTTACCACCTCTAACGCAACTTATTTTTATAACGCAATTTTGAAATAGAAAATTGTAGTGTTTTTCTCATTGAACAAAATTGCTAATCAATGATGGATTGTTATTTACGTGCAAATACTGAATGACACGCATTAGATCTGTTACACCTAGATGCTTGTATTGGATAACATAAACCAGAAAAAAGAGACCTGAAGTGAATCTATATTTTAAGATTGCTGTATAATGTAAAGGTAGACGAGTATGTCTCAGGATTATTTTCAAGACGACATCAAATTTACCAGTATGTAGAAAGCCATTGAGAAAAAAAATGATTGTTTCGGGTTCTATATGATTCTAATGACAGTAATTCATTTGTTTATTTTCATCATAACAGCTTTAAAATGTTAAAATTCTTATAAGCAGAGATAGATGGTGGCCAGTAGTGGAAGCCAGGACTCGCGTTTCATCCTACTTAAGACTCGTCAGATGGATTTACCTGAATTCCAGAGTTGATGTTCACTTCGAGACTTGACAGCGATGCTGCCTTCCCACAAGGAGGGGTGGGTTAGAAAAGGTCGACCCTAAAAATGTCACACCTCACCTTACCTCACGGATTTCCGTCTCCGGCGGTAAGGCCCTTTGAAGAACGGAGCTAACACGTCAAAAACCTTCCACAAAAAGGCCGTGCGCGACCGGCCTCAAGCAGTTGTCCCTTGGGCTCTGTGGTCACGCTCCCAGGTCGTTAAGACCAACACTAATCCAATTTCCTTTTCAGGTTCCTCAAGAAATACCCTTCCACGGTGTGGGCAGCCGGGAAGTGATATCAGCCCTCATACCCGTAACAGCACAAGAGACCAAGGTGGTCACATTCAAATCCTTCCTATACCTTCTAATACCTCTCTTATCTCCCCGACTAACCCTCCTCACGTCTCTTTATCACCTCGCACCGCTAATGCAAACGATTCGAGTACGTGGAACGCCATTCCTGGTCTCCTGAAACCACGCTCTAAACTACACGTAGGAGCTTTTAACGTACGAACACTTTACCAAATAGGATAGCAGGCTTCCTTAGCTAAAACTTTAGAATCTCGCGCCATCGATGTGTGCTGCGTCTCCGAAACGCGCATACAGGATCCAAGTAGCGTCATTCATTCGACCTCACCATGCCAAAATAAAGAACCGACTCGATTTACGCTTCGTGTATCTGGAAGCCATGATTCTGCTTCCCGTGGCCTCGCCGACGTAGGTATAGCATTGAGTCCTAGGGCAGAACTAGCTCTCTTAGAGTGGATCCCAGTAGACAGTCGTTTGTGCGCTGTCCGACTGAACGGAACAGTAAGAATCCGGAAAGATAGGGACACTTGTCGTTGCCTCTTCGTCGTCTCTGCCTATTCTCCCACTGACTGCAGCTCAGATGATGTAAAAGATGAGTTCTACAGAAAGCTTTCGGACCTTCTCCGAAAAGCTAAGCGCTCGGATGTAGTAATAGTGGCCGGTGACTTTAATGCTCAAATAGGTAAACTAAGCTGTAGGGAAAGACACCTAGGTGGATCCCATGGTGTCGTGGCTCAAAGAGCAGATAATGGCGACCGTCTGTTGCAGCTATGCTCAGATAACCGCCTGTTCCTTGCAAATACTAACTTTAAACATAAGGAAAAACATCTTTTAACATGGCGACCTCCTAATTCGTCCCAACGTTGGACCCAAATAGATCACATCGCTATCAGCCACCGATGGAGGGGCTCGATAGAAGACTGTCGCTCATTCTGGTGCACATCCTTAGATTCAGATCATGCTCTAGTACGAGCGCGTATTCGCTTGCGTCTTACTGGACGTAGGAAAGGCGCTGCAAAGAAACCTCTTAGGGGCCTACTTAATGATAGTCAAGCTAAGAGTATATTTGGGGAACAACTAGGAAAACAGTTAGGCAGCCATGTATGTGATGCCCACCCCGAGGCAGCATGGAATGATATCCGAAAAGCTGTGGAAACAGCAGTGATATCTGCTAGTAAGGTAAACCAGAAGGTTAGGGAGCAACACTGGATCTCAGCAGCATCTATCTCACTGATAGATGCTCGGAAACTCATTCCACCTGGCTCTGAACATAATGAAGAGCGGAGTCAGCTTAAGCGCAAGCTGACAAGAAGTCTACGCAATGATCGCGAACAGTGGTGGGTAGCGAAAGCAAGAGAGATGGAAAAGGCAGCGGCAATAGGTAATAGCAGACAATTGTTCAGACTCGTTAAGGAAACCGGAATTAGGAACCTGACCGTTAGCGAAACAATCTCAGAGAAAGATGGACATATTATTCATTCTCAATCCAGGAGATTGGATCGATGGGCAGAACACTTTAGGGATCAGTTCAACTGGCCTTCAGCCACACTTCGGTTTCCCACGATCTCTAGTCAACCTGAATGGCAAGTTAATGTAGGTCCTCCGTCCGTTTACGAAGTTGAAAAAGCCATAGGAAATCTGAAACGAGGGAGAGCAGCAGGCCCTGACAGGTTTACTCCTGAGATTTTTAAGGATGGTGGTCCAGTATTAGCAATGAGATTAACCGAGGTCTTAGGTAGAATTTGGGAACTGGACGTAATCCCATCTGACTGGTCTCAACCACTGATTGTGCCAGTCTATAAGAAAGGACAAAAGTCCTCTTGTGACAATCACAGAGGAATCAGTTTGACTAATATAGTGTCTAAAATATTAGCTTCAATAATACTTCGACGCCTTACTAAAGCTCGTGAAGAGCAGAATAGAGAAAACCAGGCCGGTTTTCGACCTGGACGTGGTTGTATAGATCAGATATTCACACTACGTCAGGTTCTAGAACACAGACACTCGTTCAGACGCCCCACAATGGTAGTATTTCTCGACCTTAAGGCGGCATTGGACTCTGTTGATCGTGAGGTTCTATGGCAGTGTTTGTCACTGAAAGAAGTACCAAAGAAGTACATTAACCTTATAAAGGCTCTCTACTCGAACACAACTGGTAGGGTGAGAGCTTATGGCGAACTGTCATCAGAAATGATTACCTCAAGTGGTGTTCGTCAGGACTGTCCACTCTCCCCATTCTTGTTCAACTTTGTCCTTGACGTACTTTTAGAGATAACACTCTCCTCATCTAAATTTCCAGAGGTTGAACTTCTACCGGGAGGTTCACTTGTTGACTTAGAATATGCTGATGACATAGTTTTATTTGGTGAAGACGCTGACAAAATGTAGAGTCTTCTGACAACTCTAAGCAACAATGCAAGCATGTTCGGGATGCGATTCTCTCCCTCGAAATGCAAAATGTTGCTTCAGGATTGGGTTACATCGACACCCGAACTAGTGATAGGGAGTGAAGTAGTTGAGTGTGTCGACCGCTTCACTTATCTTGGAAGTCTCATCAGCCCTTGTGGTTTGGTGTGTGACGAAATCTCAGCACGGATACAGAAGGCTCGACTAGCTTTTGCCAACTTGCGTCATTTATGGCGTAGGCGAGATATCCGTCTATCAACCAAAGGACGTGTTTACTGCGCAGCAGTTCGTTCCGTCCTACTTTATGGCAGTGAAACATGGCCGGCAAGAGTAGAGGATATCCGTAGGCTACTAGTATTTGATCATAGGTGTCTTCGAAACATTGCTCGTATATCCTGGGACTATCGAGTAAGTAACAAAGTTGTTAGGAAACGGGTACTAGGTAAGGATGGCAAATCAATTGATGAAGTAGTGAAACTTCACCAGTTGAGATGGCTGGGACACGTGTTACGTATGCCCAACGACTGACTGCCTCGACGTGCTATGTTCAGTGGTATAGGAGTAGGTTGGAAGAAAGCTAGGGGCGGCCAAACCAAAACATGGCACAAGTCCATGAAGTCACTGACAAGTGGACTGAGTCATGTTGGTAGGTGTAGACTACCTGGTTGGGGACCGCGAGATGATAGCAACCGATGGTTAGAGACCCTGAATGACATGGCTCAAAATCGTTTGCAATGGCGCAGGTGCATCCACTCTTTGTGTTCTCCTAAATTCTAATCTTCTGAATTCTTCATGTCCCTTTTTTCCACTTTCCAAATTTATTTCACTGGATTATACTCTTTAAATAACATCTCCAAACCCTAATCTTCTCGATTACTGCTTATACTCTTATTACCTCTACCACTACGGGATTTGAATCGACAACTGTATCTCTGTGCTAATGTTGTGTGGCAACTCGAACTGATGTACGTATGTACGAAGTTCTACGTTGTTACTGACTGACTGACTGACTCGAGACTTGAACCTAGTACTGTTCACTTCAAACGCCATTGCGAACGGTACTGGGTTCAAGTCCCAGAGTGAACATCAACTCTCGAACGCATATACACCCAGCTGAAGAGTCCAAATAGAACGAAACGCGAGTCCTGGATTCTACTGCTGGCCACCATCCATCTCTGCTTATAATGTTTTTGATTCAAGGTAATATCGAGGTAATCTGCACAGGATGCACATATGCCAATAAGAGACTAATCAATGGGAAGATCCAAAAAACCAATACAGAAATGGATTGTTATGTTTTCTTACATTTTTAGAGTGATGCAGATTTGCAAACGACAATTACTATGAAACTATTTTAACAACCATTTGTATATTTGAAAATATAGGAAAATAAGCAAATCATTTATCAACATACAAAAAAACAGCTTACGGTAGACGCTGACCATGATATAGTGTTTATATATCCACTTCGTGTGAGCGAATTCTCCCAACTACCCAGATGCATAGAAATTCGATGCAGCAAATCGATGTAATCACATGGTAGAAAATAATGCCAACGTAACAGAAAGACTACTAAGCCAGTCAAGAAACAATGCTGAATGCACCACCAATAATCAATATATAAGTGTTCATTCTGTAATATAACAGAAAACAATAATAATAATAATCTATCGACTTGGAATAATACATTAGTCTGTTGGAGATAAACCAGCATTTGAAACTGGTCTTTACAAATTTGTGAGCCTGGCTTTAAAAACTAACAGGGTTCCGTTCGAGTTACGTATGTATTTATTATGTTTTCAGGCTTCCTTGAATAACTCTACATGCACTGTAGGTCAACGACTAATCTGTAACTTGACAAATAAAAGCGCATTTCATCCGTTCGATAAAGCTATACATATAAATCATTCGATAGACAAGCGTATGTATGGAATTTATTGGCATCTCGAAAGCTGTTAAAAAATAAGCCCAATGAGGAGCAAGGGAATATAATCACTTCTCTGTACTGTTCCACACAAGTAGTAAAATTAGGAACCGCATTGTCTTATCTAGTCATTCTCCTAACTTTGGGACCGACAAAATTAAAGAAACAAAGCAAAATTCAGACCGAAATCATTTGGGGGTACAGGCGATATCGTTATATTGCACCAAAATAAATGACAATCATTCCTTGTTACTATGGGATGTATTTGAGCAAACAAAATGTAGAGCACCGCTATCAGATTGACAGGACCTAGTGTTTGAGATCGAGAAGTTCTTGCAACTGGAGTAAGTGTGAGTGATAAAAAAATGTAGCATAGTAAGGTAAATGCCTGAGTGGATTGTGATGTGTGACACCCTTAGGGTTATCGCAGAGTTTGTTGGGCTATAAAACATCGAACTCACAGCACTATGAAGCTAGAAGTTATGACTAAACGTTTGTGAAATGTCTTTTATGAGTTACAACATACAGAGAAATAGAATTTTCAAGAAATGATATTTTTGTTTGAAATGTGCATACCTGGACAAATATCATTGGTAGAAAGCATCCATAATAAACTGCATGTAAGGTACCAATTAAAATATCCATTAACCTTGCATTAAAATCACGTCTATACAGTTCAACTTCTTCACGTATTTGTTCAGGTGTTGCACCTAAACACTGATGATTCATTAAATAATTGTTTGAATCTACGTCACTTGTATAGTAGATGGTTTGAAATGATGGATGATCAGTTGATGCATGGAGTTGTCTTGAAGGAACAAATGTATATGGCGTTGGAAAAAACATGTTCTCAGAAGGTAAACATGGCCAATCCGTAATGATTGTGAGACATCGCCAACAGGATGATGTAAACAGCTATATTAGTCAAATTCACAAGAAGAGAATAACTTATGGAAAGCGACAAAAATTATTTCCAGAGGTCTAATTAAACTTAAATGATAATTAGAAAATGTTTTAATATGAAGTTAAGAATCATCATCGAAAAATTGAGCAATTCATAATATATTATATCTGTTGAACAGTTATCTATATGAAAAACTGAAGATGTAAAGAGAAGAACTCAGTTGACTCTGAGAATTGGAACATAATAAAGAACAATTTCATTTGAATCATATCCGATTGTCAGTATAGGGTTGTGGAGGTTATTAAGTTTTTGATTGAGATCATGAACTGATTGATGTTAGACCACCATTGAAAACCTGGAAGCACTGGACGGCCGTTTCGTCCTACTGTGGGACTCCTCAGCAGTGCGCATCCACGATCCCGCTCGCAAGATTTGAACCCAGGGCCTTCAGCCATATGAACGAACGCTTAAACTTTATACCACTGAACCAACTGATTTCAATCTGTATTAAATCGAGTTTGTTAACCCTAAATTCCTGTTATCTTTATAGCTATGACTTTGTGATAATCATATGGTTTAATAAGTTAAGTAGCATATATTTTAGATCGGTCTGACAGTTTAGAGGTTTGCTTGGTATTATTCTTGTTTGTATCCGTCACTGAGTTTATATTTAATGGATTCATGCCTTAAGTATCTTGAAATATGTTTATCAGTTTACTTCACATATCTAAATATAAATTATAACCGATAATACGAGGAAATCTATAATCAAATAACTGAAAATTTCTTATCTTCTTATGAAGTAGTGAAACGTCATCAGTTGAGATGGCTGAGATATGTGTTATGTATGCCCAACCACCAAGTGCCCGACGTGCGATGTTTTATGGTGTAGGAGTAGGTCGGAAGAAAGCTAGGGGCGGCCAGACCAAAACATTGCACAAATCCATGAAGTCACTGACAAGTGGACTGAACCATGTTGTTAGGCGTCGACTACCTGGTTGGGATCCGCGAGATGATAGCAACCGATGGTTAGATACCTTGAATGACTTGGCTCAAAATCGTTTGGAATAGCACAGGTGCATCCACTCTTTGTGTTCTCCTAAATTCTAATCTTCTGAATTCTTCATGTCCCTTTGTTTTTTCTCTTTCCAAATTTACTTCACTGGATTATATTCCTTGAATAACATCTTCAAACCCTAATGTTTTCGATTAATGCTTATACTTTTAATACCTCTACCACCACGGGATTTGAATCGACAATTGTATCTGTGTGGTAATGTGGTATAGCAACTTGAACTGATGTACGTATGTACGAAGTTCTAAGCTGTCACTGACTGACTTTAATGATAACTTGTGATAACTACAAAACAGACTTGAAGAGTATAATAATTTACTGTAATGAGACGTTATAATTTCTAAAAGCCTAAACAAAATCACTTCTTCTGAATAGATAAAAAGATTGGAAAGATTATTCATCTGGTGCTGAACAATTCTTCATTGTTTTATTTTAAGCTGCATAAGCGGACTTATTAATCGCTTCTAAACCAGTCTGTGCCATATCCTACTTTACCTATAGATAATAAAGTTGTAGGGAGAATCGGCTCTCGAATTAATCAGTTGTATTATTTCTTGTAGGCCAAAAAAGAAACTCGACTAACGTTCCATAGTTTATTGAGGTGCAGTTGGAGAAAAGTATTCGTAAAGAAGTGCGCTTTATCCTTTATACAGTCGTAAAATAAGGCGAACAAAAAGCTAAAAAAGCGACTATCCGTCCAACCAAAGTAGTCATAATGCCTGGTGAAACTAAATGGAAAATGTAGTGGACAATCACCGATTCTGATGTCGTACCTTGAGTTCTCCAGAGAAATGACTCAAACTGATTCATAGTGAAGATAGATTTACTTTGTCTTTACTAAAAATATCTCACTTGGTATACTTAAGGACCGAAACAGTACTTGTTACTCCCCATGACTGTATGGTGATTCAGATGCACGCATCAGTGAGATATTGAGTAATTGGATCATTTACTTGGTGAAGTGTACTTTCTACATATTCACCGCCCGGATTATTTTAACTGTATATATTATTTTATGCATTAATACTGACGTAAATGGATGGAGTTTACCGGGATGAGACTCGTAATACACATAAAAGCTGCCCATATAAGCCACCTGAAAAGGTGAGCTGATCAGAAGTAACCAAATAAGAAGATCAATTGGTGGGAATTAGAAGTGATCTGCGGGACAAGTACATATCATTGGCTAAGAGACGGATTGATTTCCTAGGGACTAGAAATGTTTATATATAATTGAGTATTTGTGCATTTTATTCGGTAGCCCACCGTTCACTCTTGTGTTTTCGCTCAAGTAGCTAGGTGGCGGGTTAGCGCGTAGCACATTATGTATCAATATCGAATTTCGGACACCGCCTATCATAACATCAGTTTTTCAAGATGGTAAAATGATTTCAATTATCGTAAATGTGTCCGAACAAACATCACTGAACCTCACCATTGATTAACATGTTGTTGTCACTGAACGTCAACAATCCTTCAGAAACAACAATGATCAGATATACAGAGTCACCAAAGGCCGGGCTAAGAGTGAAAATGTTCTCACCGATGCGTTGTAGATTTCACCTAGTAGTTAGTATTGTTTATCAGGTAAACATAACTTCCTACCCAAAATTGTCTTACGTAAATTGAAACTGGTTGAATGTTAGAAGCGTGCGACGATGACCAAATCGCATCGCATGGCAGATTATAATCATAGATATAATTTCATAATTTAACCCTGAATCGTTTCGTTCTTTATATACTATGAAAAATCATATGCTAATATGAGTTTGTTTAATATTAATACAAGTTTTCTGTTGAAGCAGAAAAACAGTCAATACAATTGTTGTACGAAGTTGACTCTACAAAATAAGAAATGGTATGACCTATTAAACAATCATAGTTAGGGTGTTCGTGAATCGGTATTTTAGAGAAATCCCTTATTTTCATTTAATCCCTCGTTCTTATCATCAGTATGGCTACAGCCTTAGATAATCACAAATATACTAGTAACAACATCTGACCGATAATTCCAAAATAATGAAACCAGTAGAACTGAGTGTTCCGACTAAAACAGTTTGAACAACTTAGTCTAATGGGTAAACACGAAAAGATATGCAGCCGCCAATTGATTTTTATGTAATTTTCTACTTCACTTTGTTTCATTTATCCATATTTTTATAGGTATATCAACACAATTAATTGGTTGTATTTGATGAAAACTACGGACATGAACATGTCAAAATTATGCGAGTTACCTATCGTAAATACGTTTGCTTTGAATGGATTATTTAACATGTACCATTCTGAGCATAGCTATTATAACGCTGAATATATTTCATAAAGCAGAACAATTAGTTTGACGAAGGGATCGCTGTCATTTAGTAAAAAGTATAACTTCAGTACTGGGTGACGAAGCTCGATGGGATACTGCAGAAATCCATCGAGTTCTAGTTCGTTGAAAGGCATTTCCTCCTTCTGATTATTCTAAACCACTTGTTCTATAAACTAAAAGGTATTGAATAGACTTTAGGTTGGTAAGTGGTAACAATATCCAATATATATCATACCATTACTTGATACATCATTAATCAAAGATGCGAAGAGAAACAGAGGAAGTGATTACTGTAACCACATATAATATAGGATTTAAAACAGTGGGGTTCGATGGTTGCATATATTACGAATTGTGCACTTTGAAGAACCCTGTTTATTGTTTACAGGTTCATAATGCGCTTTGTCGTTTCAAAGTGAATGGGGTAATTTTGAAGATATAAAGAGGTGTTGGAACTCATCACTGAGTCATATCACTATTATTAGTATTTGAAAACTTATTGATCAGGTTACATTTTAACCAATACACAATACTATATTATCAAAAAGTTTCACACTTTCAACCTGATTACCAATGAGTATTCTCGGTCAGCATATCACACATGTTCAAACTATCCTAGTTGATGATAATTTAAACTAAGATCTGTTTAAAGGAGGAAGAAAAGAACGAATAAATCATTTGTTACACTGCTACTCTACAACTCATAATAACAGGTCAGAATGAAATTATTAATAATAATAACACAAAAGAATAGATAAAAAAGGCACAAACTGATAATCTGCATATACCTGTAGACAATTTCTTAACCTGAAAACAGACGGTCGATATACAACTCTTGAACTACTGTCGCCCCAATAATTATTATCAGTACTATCAGTACCATTTGGCTGATGATGACGACTGTCTTGACAAACGATTTTCTCCAAATAACGAGAATGGTAAACTAAGAGAGTCAGTATGGGACTGAAATGAATAATAAAAAATAATTAGGATAAATGATTAGTATGTAATCATACACACAGTCATCATGGAGCAGATGAATCCAATATATATCCTTATCTCAATCTTCAGATTTCTAGTTTAGCCTAATACTTCCTTTTGAATTCGTCACATTGAACCGTATTTAGTCTTGCTCATTATCATTCGTATTACATTATTTTGATTCCTTTCACAATTCGTCTTGTTGTTTTCATCTCTCCATGCTAATGTGTTTCGATAACTTGGGCCAAAACACATCTGTACCAGTCTTTAATTTGATGACTTATTGATACAGTTCTAATTATCCAAATTTATGTATCAATATTTCTTAAACACGATATAAGAAATTACTTCCTGTCTTGCTAAATGTCCATATCGTCCTGAAGAAATAAGACATGCTACGCACATTTAGTGAGCAATAGCGAGGAGCATCTGTCAAACTGAAAAATACCAAGTCTATGCAACCACATATTCAGTGTGTAAAACCTTAACAGAGAAATTATCAGTAATAAACATGAGACTTAAATAGGATCAAAACTTACAAATACGCCAGCAACAATATTCCGGATAGGTGATACAAGATTGTGGTCCCGGAATATTCTATCCGATTTAAAATCCAGATCATGATGTAGCCCCAGGAAGTAAAAATGAGTAAACCCAGGACTGAGCGCATTATCAGTGATGTCATTATAAATGAAGGAAGAAGCTTTTTAAAAAAGCAAAAATATTTTATTGTGTTCATATATGTATGTCGAAACGGGATTAAGGGTAAAAACAACGAGTTGTTAGTACTCACTATGAACCCATCCACTTTAATCCCTTAGTTTGAGGCCTCGCTAGTGGCCAGAGAAAGTTAGTACCAACTTCACGCAACAACACATTGGACGGCAACTAATGTGTTGGTTTATCTAAGTTATAGTGCTGATAAAACTCCATCAATGAATGTTTTAACACGATCGCCAAGTCTAATGATTCGGATTTGTACACAGAGATAGGAGGCAACTATCGTAAAATTATACTTTTTAGTGTTCATCACCAAGCTCTGTTTATTAACTGCATAAAATCAATGGTGGTTAAAATACAACCTCAAGATACGACTAATGTTATAGTCAGACACATCTTTACTAGCGTGCGTATTCAGGTATATTTATACAGGTATTACTATAAAACAATGTTTTCTACAACATTTGTATATCCTTAGGTATGTTAACAGATGCACTGAACAGTAATTGAAAGTAGTTGTTCTTCAATAAACGGTTAAGGACTAAATTCACTCACAGAAACAGAGGATACTGACTGGGTGGTTGGTTAGTGAGAGAGAGCAACTAGAAAGAGATTAAAGAAGTAATAACTTCAGCATGTCAAAGGGTTTTGGGTTCCAAAAAACACCATCATGAACAACGGATCTTCGTTGACAGCTCAGGCAAAAATCAAGAAATGGAAAACAAGACGACGGAAGTCAACAACAGCCGAACCAGAACAGAGAAAGCCAAAACATACGTTGAATATACACAGAAAAAGCAGACAAAAGAGTGAAGAAGACCATTAGAACCGACAAGTGGAAATAAGTAGAAGATCTGGCAACTTCAGGAGAAAAGCTGCAAGAGAATGAAAATGAAATAATCTCATGATTCAACAAATAAGCTGGCACGGAAATATAGTAGAACCGATCGGACAGTCAGGATCAAACAAGGTGAACCAATCACCGAGATCTACGAGGAGAGTGATAGGTAGGTAGGCAACTTGAACACAGTTAGATGATTTGGAATTCGAGGTCTTCTTAGCCCCAATACATGCGTACACACAAATATTTGTCGGTGAAGCGAACCTATGTAGCTGCGGCTTCCTTCAAAATAGTCATGGACATTTACAACAGAAGAAGCAAAATCTTGAAGTACAGTACATCGAGCATTAAACAAATCACACTTGGTGGGGAGACTCTCGAAAAGGTGAGAGCCTTTTTTACATAAATATGGTGTATCTGAAACTGATGTCAATGTATGAATTGGTAAAGCAATGGTAGCATCCCTACAATTCTGTGACATTTGGAAGTCAAAGGAATAATCGCTGATTCAAAATCAGGATTTTCAATACTAGCGTTAAAACCATTCTATTGTACGATGCTGAGACTTGGAGAAGTACCACAACCATCACCAAAATAGTACATGTATTTATAAACAACTGTATAGAAAAGATACTACAGATCCATTGTCCGGAGATCCTCAGCAATAATCTACTGTGGCAGCGAACAAATCAGGACAAGATGCTGGAGGTGGATAGAATACATATTGAGTAAACTGTCGAACTGCATCACAGGACAAGTCGTATTTTGGAATCCTCAAGGAAGAAGAAAAAGAGACAAACTCAAGAACACATAGAGTCGGGAATCAGAGTTAGACAGCAACGACATAAACAGCACTTTCCAAAAACTAGTTTAATTAGGGAGTGGTAGTACATAAATTCCAATAAATTCGTTTCTCATTCCTTTCAAACAATAGATAAGGAAGAACATATGTCACCAACTGCTGTTTCCGTTTGAGTTTTTCAAGATTCAGTATACAAAAATTCTTACGTTTCTTATAATGGCAGACGAGTACATGCATTTAGCATTCGTGATTATTCAGTCCAAATAATTCTAAAACATGATGGTTAGTTGAGATTTAGATGGTGGTTGGAGGTAGTCAACAGGAAACCCTGGATCCGGGTTTCGTGCTACTTGGCACTCGTCAGCAAGGTGTACCTGTAATCTTGAGGGAACTGGTGCTCCCTGGCGGACTCGATCTCGTGTCACCCAGCTTCACAGTCAGAGACGTTACCACTGAGCTATCCGAGCCGTGACTAACCTCCTGTAGGTCTGAGATGTAATCACAATTGATTGATCACTGGGTGGTGATCAATGTCATGCTTGTCTAGTCCTTATTAGTGCAGATCGAATGCTATCGATCATGTTGCAATGTGGCCACCAGTCTAGGTGACTCGACACTGCGGGCACTATGTATTGAGACTTAGATGGTGGTTGGAGGTAGTCAACAGGAAACCCTGGACCCGGGTTTCGTGCTACTTGGCACTCGTCAGCAAGGTGTACCTGTAATCTTGAGGGAACTGGTGCTCCCGGGCGAATAGCTCAGTGGTGACGTCTCTGACTGTGAAGCTGGGTGACACGAGATCGAATCCGCCAGGGAGCACCAGTTCCCTCAAGATTACAGGTACACCTTGCTGACGAGTGCCAAGTAGCACGAAACCCGGGTCCAGGGTTTCCTGTTGACTACCTCCAACCACCATCTAAATCTCAATACATAGTGCCCGCAGTGTCGAGTCACCTAGACTGGTGGCCACATTGCAACATGATCGATAGCATTCGATCTGCACTAATAAGGACTAGACAAGCATGACATTGATCACCACCCAGTGATCAATCAATTGTGATGATGGTTAGTTGAAAGATTTGTAGATTTGAAAAACAGGTGGCTCGAACACATCATTTAAATCAGATGATAAACAAACAGTCAGTCAGAGAGGGGTTTTGTGGACATTGTAGTAATTTAATAATTGAACTCATGAGTCCATTGAAGCTAGACCACTGCTGAAGAGTTTCATACTAGGATGAAACAGCCATCCAGTGCTTCCAGGTTTTCCATGGTAGTCTAGCTTCAATTAGCTCATGAGTTCAATTATTAAAACATTCAGTCATCTATAAAATTGAATTTAATTCTAGATAAGCATTACTTCAGTGAAGCGGAAAAGAACATACCTTAAGCACTATTAAATAGACATACGGAGTACACAGCATAAAGATGATATGGGCCGTAACATAATAGTCGACTGAGCCAAATTCCTAAAAATTGTAAAAGAATATTGTTAATCTTCAGGTTGAACTACGTGAAAAATTTAATTTTGAATTAACTTCTGATTTGGGAATATTAAAAATAAAAAATTATTGTGTTTAGTTTTGGTTTTACAGACCTTAGTGATGACCATTCTATATCATCAATTGATTGGAGAATGTAAAATATTGAGCTCTTATGAAATGAATGCATGATGAAGTACTCGACGCTGGAACTGAAGATATAATATCTGGTTTCGTACAGAAATGAGGGTGTATATAGCTATGAACTAAGAAAATACGCTTTATTCAGATGATGTTAATTCATGATGACGGTATATAATATGCAAAGTCCGTCAAAGTATCACATCATCTGATGTGGTTAAGCAAACAGTTAGAGGTGACTAAAGGTTACAAATTCGCTCACTCAGTTGACACAGGACGTAACATTGACGTGAATAAAGCCTTTCAATTTATCCATTTTGCTCCATTAAATTTACCACATGGCTTACAGGTTCGTCTTTTGTATATTCCTGAAGCTATCACAATCCACATCCAGAAAACCAACCTCTGTACTCAAAAGAAGTTTGTATAGCTATCGACAGAGGCTAAATAAAAGAAGAGTAAGTCTATTATTATCAACCCCAGAACTGAATATTCAAATTCTTTACTACGTATTTGTTACTTCTGTTGGACTTCTTATCATAGACTCAATCAATTTTACTGTTATTAATCCTTAAACCCCATATCCTATTCCATTCATTGACCCATTAATACCCTCGAATATTTGTCATCTATTAACTCCATCCTCTAATTGTTTTTTTTCTAGCCATTTACAACTATTTTCGTAAACATTTGAATTTGTAATATTATCTAACAGCACCAACTGACCGATATATTTTATTGTTAAATATATATTAGTGTAGAGCCATGATGACAAACCAATAGAAAATAAATATTCCATTACTATATTCGTCGTTTTACTGAATACCTGAATGAGAACTTTCACAACTCTAGGTTTATTTATGCATTTTTAACTTACTACAGGGTATTCGATTGACGAATTCGGTAACCACCACACAGTTCTATACAGATACATGTGCTGAGTTAGTGTAGATGTTAAGCACAGCATTAGACTGAGAGAAAGAAATGATATACGGGATAATTTTGGCACAACAGGAAATGTAGAGTGCTTCACTAATGGTACTGAGGACACCATCTGCTCACATGCTCTATAATAAAATACATCAGAAAAGGGATAACAGGAATTTCTATTGGTACTCTTACCTTCGTGTATTGTTATTAACACCACCACCAATAGGTCCTAAACGTCCAGATGATCGTTTAATAGGCATACTATTTAAATCCAATTTAATCCCTTAATGTACAGTAAATTACATAGTTGGGCTAAGTAGAAAAATATACCAGGAAAATTGAGTACAAACTCAATACATATAGTATAAAGTGATTAATAGAAAAGCTAAGCAGAATAATGTGAAATTGTTTAGTAACAGTAAATATTAGCACACCAATGTAAAACTGAGTGAGAATAATACTTTCAAAAGAAAGAAATAACTACTGGGCTACAGGCTGGAAACAGATAATCTCAAATTCAGTATGGCTAGTCAGGTAATACTAATACACCTTACACATAAAAAATGAGACCAGTTTTTACTTCGTGAGTTCGTTTGACCTTTAACAAGGAATGTATGAAACAGAAATGAAACATGGTAAAAGATAAAGACTAATCATTCAACGTGACTACTACAGATCTAGGACCATTCGACAAAACATCTTTAACTCCCCCCTCAATTCATGACCATATCCACCACTTTAGCTTTTCACTTAATTTGATTATTTGAAGGTCGAGGGAAATGTTTCATTTATATTGTTTACTCATTTCACATAAAATTTCGTACAACCAGGCATTAAAATAGTACGAAGCGAGGAGTTAATATCGTGGAGGAATGAAAAGACCAGTTGTGTAACCAGAAAAATTACGTGAACACAAAAGGATAGACACTTCAGTCAACAAAGCAACACAGATATTTATTACAGTTAAATTTCCTCTTTTTACATAAATTCACAAAACTACTGTAGGATCTTCAGTAACTTCTGTTGTGAGCCTTCTCTAATAACATCTCAAGCCACTGAGTTGCATCGTCATCAGGACCTCAACGACAATCCTAAGCAACTTCATTTCATACTCCGGCACTATATTATAAACTGACCACTTCTCTGCCTTTCCCACCCAGTCCTTGTGTCGGCAATTAATGGATGATGTGCAATTCTCCAGAACGATATTCATAATACACGTCCAAGTCGCCAAAACAAGTCTTTCAAGATGGTAAAATGATTTCAATTATCGTAAATGTGTCCGGACACACATTACTGAGCCTCACCATTGATTAACACGGTGTTGTCGCTGAACGTCAACAATCCTACAGAGACAACAATGATCAGACATAAACAGTCACCAGAGATTCTCAACCCAAAGGTCATGCTTCACTGACATAGAGTAGGAATCCTCTAACGAATGTATTGTACACGACCTTTCACAGCTAGACTAACACCACAGTTCAGATTGATATATCTCGCCCTGACTTTTATCATACGTATATTAGTCTATTCATTAACGTTACCAACTAGATACATGAAGATTTCTACTGATTCCAACGACTCAGAATCAAGAACGAGTGCGAACACAGGCTCCTGTCAAACTGGCGGAAGTACCTTGCATTTTGAATATGCATAGTACATAGAATATCTACAGACAATGACTACTGATTAATTGAAGATTGGGTAGCGTGATTTTCATCGCATAGTAAGATAATATGCACCCAATGTTGATGACTCTCTCTCGGTAACAGATGCAAATCACTACTGCCTACTTCCGTCAGAGCTGTTTTATGAGTGTTATTGACAATAAACTTGGAGAGAAATGGTGAGTTTGGGCAACTACCTAATCGCAATCTTCTTCTGAAACAGTTGGAGATAAATGATGAGACTGAGTACTCCTGCCTAGACTCACGGTTGCAATGGGAAAGCGGAGAGGTGGTTGCGCGCTATCACTGAATGTAGTGTTGGTGTACAACGCTTTTAAGATGTTAACAAAGTGTTCGGAACAGCCTTGTCCAACAAGTCGAAGGTGGCATCGATGCAAAGAAACAACTATTCTTGCCCTAGACTTAACAGCTCAGTGTTTAGCGCGAAAATAACTATATTCTGGTGCCAATGGAGACACCAATGGTGTACAGGTTCATCCGGCTAACGAGTCTTAAGACAAGGACGGAACATGCATCCTGGATTTCACCGCTGGCCGTAGTTTAGCCGACTTCTTGGACTTCATTCGCGCAAGGTTTTATGGATGGCACCACCAAAATAATTAAATAAATTGAAAATGAGGCCGTATATAAGTTGATTTATTAGGGTAATCATATCTTAAAGTTAATATAAGTTATTTTATTTAAACTCAAAGCAAAGTACCATGAAACCTTTTAACGTATCAAGTCTATGTAGTTTTACATGAACTGGTATTCATGAGTAAGAATATTGACCTTAATTCATCTCACTACTGTTCTTTTACTGATTTGGAGAGTATACATGGACACAAGAAATCTGAGTATACTAAGTTTGTATTGCGTATGGGACTTAATATGCTAACATATATAATCCCACAGTAACTGTTTACGAGAGTCTACGTAATGTTTACTACGACACTACTAACCATTTATAACAATTAACACTTCATGAAAAACCAATTAAAATTATAGCAAACAAAAATGATATCCATATCCAAAAGTTGACAATGTTATTTATCTGTTCTGACGAGATTTTCAAGTTTTGTGATGAAAACTTTGCTAAATAAATATAGTTTTATAAGCACTGGTCAGAGTCAGATCTACGTCCGTGAATAAAAACGTCGATAAATATTGACAATAAGCACTCTGGGTAAGAAATTGTGACCAGATAATCATGTCTCGAGACATGATTTTGCATGATCATGCTAGTCAGGAAACGAAAAATAAGCGGTGACCTAGGAAGTTTCCAGACAACTTACTCATCCATACAATAATACTGTAGCAAACTGAAAATTATGACGAGAATATAATTTGTGGATGAACTAATCACGTATAAGATAACATCTCGGATTTTGGTGCAAAAATCACTCATCTATTTGGATAAATAGAGTTTTGGCATTATAGCTGATGTCAGTTCGTGATTAAAACCCTAAACCTAATTCCTAACCTTAATCATCAACTGTAAATCATAATTTTAATTCTTCACACAGGCTGATAACCCTCTTCGGTCCTGGCTATTAGGTGGACACTGTCAAGGTCAGTCTAGCGTCTCTCAAAGGTCAACCATAAACTATAGTACAACAGTTTTAAGATACTTTGAATCACAATCTGGAGAGCCCTGTGAGAAGCTGAAAGGATAAAACATAAATTAATGATATAGTCAACAAGAGGCTTTGATAAGGTTGAGTATAGCCTAAAACTACTGAACTACTTCAAAGCAAAATGTACATTTTGCTCAGCCGGCAACCGATTCCAGTATTTGACTACTCTTAAGAAGCAGAAGATGTGTTCACAGTCCGTTCTGCTGTGATGTGTCTCCAGTTTTTAGGTTTTACCCCTAAAGTTTGTGCTGGAACTAAGCTTAAGTGGGTGTTTAAGGGGATACCCAGAAGTGTTTAAGATGCTACAAGTTGTAGCGGTAAATAAATCCCCAAAATAAATAGCACTAAGTTTTCGACATTGGATGCTGACCATATGTTTTAGTGGACTCACCTAGCTGAATGCGCTCGATCAGGCATCCGCTCCAGATCACGTGTGGTAACGCCGTGCTCAACATCAACCGCAATCGCTAGCCAGATTAGATCAGAGAATTCCGATATATCGGTCATCGCCAAATATACTCTTCCGATCTCCTCGACTCTGTCTTGTGATTTCTCTGAGCGGGAACGAAATATATTAGAAGGTGTTACTGGTAGAAGCGTTGTCAAACACTGAATGCCTGTGACATCATCAAAGTCATCAGAAGGTCACATCTAAGACACCTATACTCTAGTGAGTAAAAGTTCATTAATTTGAGTCGCCTTCCATAAGGCTTAAATCTGAGTCTTCAAACTGATTTTGTGACTCGCCGTTGGATATATTCCAATATATCCTTACTTTTCGGAACGAGGAACAAGAATACTATGTTTCCGTACTATGACTGGGGGATGCATAAAACCATCGAAGATTATGTGGAAAGTTCTTCCATCGAACTGACCGAAAATACGTCCTAACGTTACCAGTGCACGGTTTGCTCGGGAGGCATTTTTGTCGCAGTTAGCGTAATACCTCAGATCGTAGAGTACCAACGCTCCTAGATCTTTTTCAACTTGGGATACCTCTAGAGGAGAGTTACCTAGGTTGTATTCGTAGTCTGTAACTTGCCTCAAACGGACTACTTTACACTTTGAGGTATTCAACGTAAGTCCGTTGTCATCTGCTCAACTTTGAAGTCGAGTCAGATCCTCCTGAAGTGCCAGTTTATCCTCTTGGTTGGATACTTCTCCCCAAAGTTTCACGTTGCAGTGACCTACTTTTATCAAGAGAACGCGATTAGTGTAATGGAAACAATTATTATTATAACCAGTTGTGCCAGGGATTGTTTTGCCGTACTTGTTTGTTTGACTGTACCGGAATACATACTTCCTTTGATTGTGACCTTGCGCGAATTCGGTTACGCTCAGTAACCACACTTGGCACGATCTCGGTATTCTTTCGATACCATGAGATCGCCAACGAATACATCTCGACTACAGCCATCAACTGCCTCCTGATATTTGGCTTTCGGGGGGGTCTTATCGGTTAACTGGCACGTAGTCTTCCTTTAGTGGTGATCGTAGTCAACCGCGACTCGACGCCACACTTCATCATCATCGAAAAGTAACAAACCAGGCGATACCCGCTGAGGAAGGTCGTTTGTACAAATTAGGAATAAAGGTCTTATTACTGAATCCTGTGAGACCCCACTAGGACATTTCATAGCCTGAGAGAAAGTGAGATTAACCCTGACCTTAAAATGTCGATTATTTAGATATGAAGTGAGCCAATTAGTTGAAAGTGATTTGGACGTATCACGCCAAGCAGACAGTGCATGAGTTGAGCGGAATTAGAAACAGCGTTGAATTGAATTCCGATACGTAGAAGAAACATATTCTTATGTGTTTTAGACTACTCCACTCACTAAATACATATAGGAAGTTGCTCGTTAAGTGACACTGGATTCAAGAGTGCGTTCGGCTGCAAACGTAAACCATAAGGTTTTAGAATACTTAGTAGATAGTGAAGAATACAAATCTAAAGGGATACATCAAGTTCGAGTTTTCGAATAGTTCTACGTGGTTCTACAACTGAATAAGAACGTGATAAAGTCAAACCGGACGATGCGTAATCATCGTTGGGAAAGTTTGTACGTGATTTGTGATCCGTGGATGGGGCAATTAGCTTCAGAGGATAAGGAGAATCTCAAGCCAGTTGTGATCCAAACTTGGTCCTTAGATCAAGCGGCAGAATCAGTTAGACAACGGACTAGCCATGAAGGCACTATAACTGATTTGAAGATGCGAGCTCAGATGTCTACAAGTAGGTGCGTACTCTTATGCTTTCAAACTGTTGTACTCAACTGAAGTCTTTAGTTTTCGAAGACAAAAGATGGACTGAGATAATCTTCATCCGAGGACAGACCTGTTACTAGAATCTGATTACACTGCTGTCATTAGATCACATTGCACAAACGAAATCCAGAAGTTGTTTAAGCCAGTGATAACTGATGAATTCGATCGTGGTCACCTGATTTTACATTCATGGACACAATCGGATATTAAATCGACGACAGATTTGGTGATTTGATTTTGTAACATTAACTACACTGTAAGATATGAACTAACTTTAATCAGAAATTATTGACTGATTGGTTGAATCAATACATTTATTTCGGCAGTTTCAGTTTATTAGAAGTTAATTGAGCTGAGAATATACGGGCATCACGGCGATAAATTTACTTTAAGGACAATTCCACTCACTTAATGAAGTCTAGTACAGAGCGTTAAGTTTTTGTTAATGATGGTCTAGTATGACTAATAGGGTTGAGGACAATGATACGAATCTTAGTCAAAGATGTTCGACAACTGTGTCTCCTTGAAGTTGCGGATGGTATGTGATTACTCGGATCCTTAGGTGTTAGTCCTAGGGATCAAGCTGTCGAGTGTGACTTAAGGTGTACCGTTGTAGACACTGTAACCTGTCAGTATTCTGAAATTTTGTTAGTGATTATTTGCGATGCCTAATCTTTGAATTGGTATTGTCAATTCATTCATCCGTGAAAGGAACTACTGTTCTTTCGGTCGAAGGTGTTTCGGTAAAAGCTAAAAATATTTGACTGGATAAAAACCGTTATATTAAATATTAATAACTTCACTGTGTTTTGGATGCATTCGTTGGACACATATTTTGAACTTGTTTGTTTATAACTTTGACCTCGGATGTTTCGGTTTACTCTTTTGAACGTTTTGCTTCGGAGATCTGAAAATTGAATGTTTGTTTTGTAATAATTATAATTATTGCTAGGACGATAAATGTGGGTTCATACTTATAATTTATGAATAAACTTTGGTATCTGAATTGGAAATTGGTTCTCTTGTTGTTTGGGGTCGTAAGTTACGAGTGGATCAATCGACCGTGCTTCAATAACGAACTGGAGCAAACTTTTAGCGTAATAAAAATGGTTAAATGAGTTGAGAATAAAATTTAACATAATAAGTCGAGAGAAAATCTCAGGAAATAATAATGCTGTTTGACGGAAATGCAGGGATATTCAGAACATTTTTCTGTTGTACACAACTTTAAGATACGTCTCTATATAATTCACTCCGTATCACATTTTCCAAAAGGTTGTCCTTCTCTCCGATGATCAGGCGCGTTACTACGCTAGCATCTTAATAAACTTGGCTTTCCTACGATACCACAGATAGCACACTTTTTCTTGACGATTTTCAGATGTTCCATAAACACATATCACTTATCGTGGGAGGTGAGGATGGTAGTTTGTCTATTTACTTTCCTTGAAATTCGTAAGATTTTGCCTCTCAGGATAAGTCTTTATTCTCTTCAACGACTACCACATCTCACAATCGAGATTCCCTGACTAATTGTAAAGAGTCATCCCCAAACCTCAGTTGCGAGAACATTGAATGAAATAACTTTTCACTCACTAGTTCGTAAACAAATTACTCACTAACCCTATGAGTGCTGTTCAATTATGGCCGATTATAGGAAGCTCAATATTCCTTAGATATTAGTGAGTTCCTTCTTGTTCATGTCACACTTATTTATTACTACTAATTTCCAGATATGGTTTTTCTACTTATTTATTGTCCTACTAATAGAAATCCTTCTCATACAGGTCTTTGTACAACCATCAAGCTCCAAGCAGAACGATTTTACCGGCCTGAATCAAGACATGAGGTAGTGAAAACGCTCCTGTGTAGGCTGCCGGAAATCTAAGATGATTAGACGCAACAAATGTCATTTGAGCCCATTCGAAACTACCGACGCTCGTATTGATCACGTCAATTTAGATTTGGTAGGACCCTTACCAGATTCAAATGGATACTCTTACATCTTAACTTATGCAGACTGTTTCACTCAATGGTCAGAAGCAGTACTCAACAAGGACATTACTGCTGAGACACTGGCCTGCACTTTCGTCGAACGGTGGGTAGCAAAGTTTGACTGACCTTTGGCTATCACTACGGACCGTGGACGCCAGTTCGAATCCGGACTTTGTCGTTGTTTGACCACAGTATTATGAATAACGCGATTCTGAACGACCACCTACAGGCAAACGTGTCGGCGGAACGATCCCACCGACAGCTATAAGCTTCCCTATCAGTCGCAAACGCTTCACAGAGCACCGACGCTCTTCCACTCGTTTTACTTGGTACTCGTAATGCATTGAAAGATGACACTGTGTACACCGTAGTGCAACTCGTTTATGGAATGACACTTTGACGTCCATGAGATTTAGTGGATCCTTTATCTAGTTCAAGGAATAATGATCTAAACTCCTACACGGGCAGGCTTACAAACGCAATGCGTTCAGTTAGACCTGTTTCCACTCGACCGCAGTCGACTGATGTTTTCATTCAACCTGCCTTCTGACATAGTACACAGATCTTTGTACGTTGCCACTCACTTCGACGACCTCTCGAAACAGCATACGAAAGACCCTTCACTGTTCTTCATCGTGAACCTAAGCATTATATAATCGATAAGAACGAACTAACGATAGCATCAGCATC